AATGAGCAAACTTGTAGTTCTTTTAAGTCTGTTTCTATTCCCAAGAGGACTAAGGGGGTTGTTGCCTTTTTAAGCCAGTGGCTGGGCCTTTGTTTCCTTCCTGGTTAAAGTTCACCCAAACACCCTTCCTCCTGGCCTCCTAAGCCAACCCCTTGCTCAGGGGCAGCTCTGGCCCTGGGCATCTCCCACCGCAGCAGTAGCAGTTTGTTTCTCCCAGGCTCGCTCAGGTCTGTGTCACCACACTCTGTGTGACTCACATCCTGCTCTGATCATCATCTGGTGTTCCAGCGCCAGCCCCATCTGATGAAGAGGCTCTCCTCTCGCATGATGGACAGTGGTGACAGCATTGAAGTTTGCACATGTGTGTGTGTGTACATACATGCAGGTTAGTTCACATAGCAACAAGGCAACACACCTCATTCAGATTGTTCTATTTAACTGTCTGAAAACTAAGAAACACTGCAAAGGACACGGCTGCCTGTCCCCACCGAGTTATCCGGGAGCTGCCTCACCTGAGCCGTCTCCAGGGGAGGACCCCTCCCCCACACAGTGACCTTCTGCCACGCCTGCCCCACGGCCTTCTCCTTGAGCACCTTTTCCATGCAGAAAATCACAGGGCAGAACAGGACAGCAGCTCTCTCCCGACCCTGTGTGCGTCAGAAGATGGCGTGGAGTCCACAGAGATCGTCTCTTCGTGAATACCAGCCACATCCCAGTGTGCACGCCACGGGCCAGGGGTGAGCGGCACAGGGCCAAATGAGCACTGGCCCGCTCTTGGATGCACGGGCCCCAGCTCAAGCTTCTGAGTGCTTTCTGACTCCACTCACGCTGGCTGCCACCCTCTGTGGGATGACCGCCCGTACCCTTGAGCTCCTGTCCATGGAGCCTGCGGTGTCTTCAGCCTCCTCACACCAGCGGTGCCCTGAGTTCCCCTGTGCCGTTTGCCATGAGTTGCCCTGCGCCGTTTGCCAGGAGTTCCCCTGTGCTGTTTGCCAGGAGTTCCCCTGCGCCGTTTGCCATGAGTTCCCCTGCGCCGTTTGCCATGAGTTCCCCTGCGCCGTTTACCATGAGTTGCCCTGTGCCATTTACCATGAGTTGCCCTGTGCCGTTTACCATGAGTTGCCCTGTGCCATTTACCATGAGTTGCTCTGTGCCGTTTGCCATGAGTTGCTCTGTGCCGTTTGCCATGAGTTGCTCTG